GTGTGCTCTTCCGATCTCCCCAAAACCCCAAAACCCCTACAAGGATAGGCACATACTAAAATCAAATGAATAGATAAATAAATTATTCTAATAAGATAGATTGCAGGAGATGTATCGTGATAATATGAATTCTGCTTCAGAATCCAGCTGGAAACACTGGGTTGTGTCTGCAAATTGATGGTCCTCTTTCCATATAGTCCTCTCTGCTGTGGCATATCTTTGGGAAGTGATCTGAACTACCAAGCACACTACCACCGAACCAAACTGCATATCTTTAAACCATATTTTGGGATACGTTAACATTAATAGGTTTTGGTGCTTAGCCAGTTAACTATTGATATTGCTTGAATCTATCATCGACTCTCTCTTGAATTTGCTTTTTGAGTCTGTTATCGAAGTCAGTAAACAGAGTGCTACCACCAGAGAGTACGATGTTTTCGTAAAGCTTTCTTCTAGTATCAATGGGGGATGATTAAATGGCGTTGTCGACAATTTCATCTAAAGGAGATCTCCAGTCTTAATGGATGAATTCAGGATGGAAAAACATCTCTGGACCTAAGAATCTCTCATAACCAACATCAATTTCAGTCGTCTCTCCTGTTACAGCAGATTTATGAGTGTATTTCTTGAATTTATTTGACTATTGGACTCTTCCACTCTCATCAACTGTCTTTTTATCAAATTTCTGATATTCCTTAACCACATCTTTGCAGACATAGCCATATCTCTCCTTGACCTTCTATGCAATATCTAAGGCATCGTCAGATGGAATCTTTTCACCTCTATCTCTTAAATGTTGCAAAATGAATTTTGTAATATCTCTTCCTGCGAGGGGGATATGTCTAACACAACTTCCAATGACAAATCCATCACTGACTGGGAAAACATGGGTAACTCCGTCACCAGAATCAATAACAGTTCCACTGAGATCTGCTTAGCTTATTGATTTGTTGGTTGATTCTGGTCCGCAAAGCTGAGCGTAGAGAGCAAGAGTAGCTTGCACTCCAATGAAAAGACCTTTGACATTGAAGGTCTCAAACATAATTTCTGCCATTTATTCTCTGTTCTCAGGGGTATTCATTGGTGGCTCAGTCAATATAAATCTATGTTCTTCTGGCTCACATCTCAAATAAGAGTATATGGCTCTGTGCCAAAATTTCTCCATTGCCTCCCAATCTTCGATCTATCCACTTCTAATTATAGTTTTCACATCGTGAGTCTTTTAATGGGCATAGGCTTCATCTCCAATGTAGAAGTCAAGCTCTGGGTTCTTAAACTCAGTCTAGTTTGAGACCTTTGTAGCTCCCTTTTATCTTGAATCTGCAATAGCTGTTGGAATAAGATAACTTGGCTCCATATTTCCAGCATATCCCATCTTTGTATATCCTGTTCCATTGTCAATGACAACTGTGGCTAAATTCATCTTTAATTTAAGATATATATGTAATTATAATAAATCTCTTATTATATCTATTTACATTCTCCCGGGGTTTTGGGGTTTTGGGGTTTTGGGGTTTATTTTTTA